TCTAGTTGTAGACGAAGCTCATTGATCTCCATGTCTTTCTCCCGTAAAAGAGCTAGTACATCAGGGGCGTCAGAAGTAGTGCCCCCAGCCTTCACACCTATGGACATGCGGGAATGACTGGACCGTCGTGCTTGCAGAAGCCGCCGCTCTAGCGTAGAGATATAGCGATTCTTGTCGTTAAGGTCGGCCTGAAGGGCTGCGATTTGTCTTTGGGCGCTTGCTTTTCCATCCGCGAATTCGCCAATAAAATCATCCTCATCTTCATTCCCAAGATGACCATTTGAGAACGGTTGATTACCAGGGTAATCATTGCTGTTAATAGAAAGAAAGGAGACTGGTCGGAGCGACGAGTGCCCATATGCGCCTAATGTAGACTGGCTGAGTGACGAACGCAAGGATCGAGACCCAGTTTCGGTAGCCGACATCCTTGAAAGGCGACCAAGAGCGGATATGCTTCCATAGGTATTTACACCAGTAGACTTTGAACATAGAATCAAACGATTCAAATGCTCGATCCTTTCCTTTAATGCCGTCCGAGCCAGTTGCATTTCAAGCATTTGCTCTTCGTGGCGTGCCTGCGCTTCTTTTTCGAGCTGCTGCTCTTCCAGCTTCAGCTCCTTCTCAGCTTGGGCCTTGGTCTGACTCTCTAACTGGTTACGGAGCGTCTGAATCTCCATACGGTACCGCTCCAGGAGAACTCTGCTTCCAGCATCACCTCCACCACTACCAAATGCTTCCTCCGCGCGTTTAGCATGGCTGACAATGCTGTTCTTGGCTCGAGCTGCGAACTTCAAGGTGTTGAGCGTTTCGCCGGAATGAGACTTGGCTGTCCCTCCTAGCTGAACCGTGCAAAGAATACTGACCAGTGAGTTCCCTGACAAAGCAGGCTGCAGTAATCTCGTGAGTTTGCTGTCCCGATATGGAAGGTGTTTCCCCTCTTTATCAGTTGGGTTGCCGGTCTTATCTCTTGCCTCCGACAGTTTAGAGATAATAGTTCCCAAAGTAAGCAAGCTTTTGTTAATATGGGCACCTTCCGTACGCCGTTCCTTGTCCTCAGCAGCGCGCTCTGAACCAGCAAGATCGATTAGACTCAGCGTCGACACTCGGACTCCACCTGGGACCAAGCCTGACCGTCTATCTTGAGAAGCTCCGGCAGGCACTCGTTCCCTGCTCTCGACAACAATTTGAACAACCGCGTGACTTCGAGAGCTGCGAGCGTTAAACTGCGTGCTACCGGTCCGCCTAGCATGGTCGCCCCTCGCGATCACACGGAGAAGCTGTGTCGGGCTTTGAACAATCTCTTCTTTCAGTGGCGTGGCATATACACCACGTTTGCTGTCTTCGCGGAGCTTGATTTCCTCCTGTTGAGGGGCAGCGGTTCCGCCAGATACCGAGGCTGACAGCAGATCGTGAATTTTCTCATTGTATATCTCCAGATAGCTGACACGCAACAAGAACTCTCGATGTGGTGTTTCCCTAATGAAGGAGAATATGTCTGTTATTGCCAACGGTATCACTCCCGGGGAGGTTGCAGTTCCTTGCATGGAGAACGTCTTGCCAGTACCAGTCATGCCGTAAGCGAAGACTGTACCATGATATCCTTCCATTACCCGCCTCACTAGACGTTTCGCTGCAGAGTCGTAAATCTTCGCGTTATGCTCATGAGGGGAGAACACGTTATCTAACGAGATAGAGAAGCGTAAGCCACGTATACCTTGCTGTGCCCAAAGAGAACACGAAGGATATCCTTACCAAACGAATAATCGCCGCCCTCCTTTCCGTTATAAGAGATGAGGCCGTGCCTCCCATCTACTGACCATTCAGGGGTCTTTGCGGTTTCGGCACCATTCACATCAGGGCGTACTCGGACGCTCACGATGACATTCCCCTTTGTCTCTTTCGGCCTAGAGTTTGACTTCGGTACGCCTTCATCGGCATCTTCAAACGTTGTTGCACTAGTAGAGTAAGATCCTTGCGCAGATGAGCTTCTGCTTTGTGAAGGGGAGCCTTCCGCATCTCGCGCTTCAGTAGTCGAAATGGATTTCGCATCCCCAGCGCCACTCAGCAACGATGCGGTTTTAGAACTCCGGTAACTACTGGTGGTTCCTGTACTTAGTCTCGAGCTTTTCCTGGCCTTTACACTCCCAGATGGATGGACGCCCTGTATTCCCGATAGTGAAGACGCAGTAGAAGGGCGGCTTCCTGACCTAGGTGGCTGAGGAAACGCTGCAATGCTGATGGTTCGTCGGAGCGATTTATCGGGGCTACTCGGAACCCGGCTACCGGCAACGGTCCGCGATGTGCTGGTATTGGTCATCGAATTAGACAGGAGGTGTCGTCCTAGACTTGATCTAGGGCTAGAAGGGGTGCGCGTCTTGAGGGACGTTTGGGATGGGGACGGCGCTCTTGACGTGTCAGATGCAACAGGTAGGCTTTTCCGTGACCTAGGAGCTGGGAATTGAGGACAGGGTCCAGCCGAAGAGTTAGAGGCCGTCCGCGACGACGGCGGTAAGGTCGACATTCTCAAGTGACTGTCTATTATATGAGGCTGATTATACCATGCGGTGTTGGCACATGGACTTATCAATCGGTGTTTCTTGCGGCGGCCATCCGTATGGGTCCGGTTAGAGTCCGAATTCGCGCCTATATTAGAAGATATGAACCTGTTAGACCTGGCGATAAGAGGCTATCAAAACATGCAACAACATCACCAGATGACTGGCTTTCAGATTGGAGCGCAACACTTTGTTACGCGTTTGTGCCTCTGTGGAAAGGAGCTTGTTTGATATGTGAAGAGACAGGGGTGCAGTAAAACGATAACAGGTAAACTCGGCTGTCAAGGTCCGAGCTATCGAGACTCACCTTGATTTAGTATGAGGCAGTTCCGTCTGTCGAAGGCCGATTCTCAAGTCGGACCTTTCCGCAAATCGTCCAAAGACTAGTAGGATGTTGCGGGCTGAGATAAGGGGACTGTAACGTAAACAAGCGCCAACCTTTGCGCACGACACAGATGTGTCCGAAAGCCCTTGCTGGCTGGGTCTCTTGCAGCGTTGGGCACGTGTGTAGGTTATGGGCCGACGTCAATTATCCCGTTTCAGCCCTGGCAGGTTTGAACAGGCTTCTTTCTTATTACGACAACAGCGAACTGCAGACCGGCACTGCCAAGTGATGGATGGCGTTTGAGGAGAGGGCGCTGATCGGGAACGTTAATACTTGAGAAGAGGGCCTGTGTGCAAATCAGACATGGACCCAAAGAATGGCTAGACAAGTAATCAATCGCTTCAGATAGGCAGGATACCCCGTACGCCGCAATCCGCCTCGAACGCGAGGCGTTGGGTTGAAGGAGGCTCCAAGGGTTGGTCCTTTCAATCTTTAGTGCCGCACGGGACGGGTAAAAGGCCGGGAGTCAGGTTATGAGGGGCGTAGTAGTAAGTAGTAGTAGCAACTCACCCGGCCACTTCCTGGTTAGAGCAAGATAATTAATTTTTATTTATTCATTTACTACTTATACTATACCGTCGTACAGTGTGATGATGCTGGTAGTAGTTGAAATCATTACCGGCACCAATGAGTTGACTGTTGCTTCCACCGGTACCGTATAGCATGTAACCCCAGCATACACCCCTATGTGGTGCAGTTTAACCCCTCTCGGACGGTGGACCTTTCTGGAGCCTGAGATACCGGCCAAAAAAAAAAAAGCTAAGCTAATCAGGGATCCAACAAAAATATGCGGGAACTTTGTATAGGATACCTCCTATACGGTACTACCTGGAAACTTACAGTAAATTATGGATCTATACCCAAGGTGCCTAGGCACTCGGACGGGGGTTTTTTAGTAGAAACTCAATTACCGGACGATGTTTTATCTAGTGCTAGGGCTTCAACCATCTTAAGATTAACTCGAAAATTTCCCTGGTAAACCATACTGTTGTATTCGACATCAATACCCATCCAGTACCAGTGTCACACCAAAAACAAACTAAAGTAGATGTGTTGCCCAGAAGGTGTGCAGTTTGGAACTCCATATGCGGCAGTTCCAAGTACTTTCTTTACAACACCACAAATTATGACATACTTAGCGCAATGAAACAATTACCTTCCCATTGAATTGTTTTCACTGATTATTCCGCAACACGGTCCCTGAATTCCCAAAAGGTAATATTATCGGATGAGGCACTGTTCTGTCATCTCGAAGTTAAGCAGCGGCAGTGCGAATAGAGGTACAATGTCTGTGCTGTGTGTGTACCTAGCTGGTAAAGGAGATGAGCATCAGTTGCTGTCTCATTTTTAGAACCCCTCTCAAGTGGGAATTCTGTAGGAGGGACCAGACGCTAACAGACGGAGGCCCTCTTTTAATGTTTAATTAAACCTCCGTAAGGGGCTTTGGGGTTTTTATCATTTGTAGCAGCCATCCACTGACCAAAGCGCATTTCACTTCATATTATTTATTAATACTGCCCTATATTCCCTTCAAATACTTGTCCCGAAAGAATGAGGTGGCTAATTTCCTTGCCCGATCCAAAGGCGGCTGAATAATATTTACATGTGTCCTGCAGGATACAATAATTTCCATCAGATGCAGTGTGCAGTACAGAACACTTATGTTCCCACGATAGGGGGTGGGCTTTGTCGATCAATTTCTCCATGAAGGTATCAATGTCGATCCCTGCTACTGAGCGATCCTGCTTGCGTTTCCGCACATACGATGCCAAGAAAACAGCATACACAAGCGTCAACCCTTCTAGCCACAGAGCCCGTTGGACGAACACATGCACACAAGAAATCTGGGGGATTTCTCCTTGTCTGAGACCTATGTGGAATAATACAGCTGACCCCTTCGAGTCATGATGGTTCCGACTCCACAACTGTTAAGGTATTGACGATCACACGAATCCGCGAACCATTGAGCGGCTGGTGTTAATTCGACAACAACTTTCTGCTGAACTTGCAACTCTTGATTTGAGCCCGCATTGATTTGCGATAATCACTCAGTTACCTTTGTCGCTAATCTCACCCGCATATCTGGGCGCAATCCACACCGTCGATGAGCGGGTCTTATCTCAAGAGATGAAGTTCACCAATGATGGGCCGATTGCCATGTCCCCTCCTTGATGGTGTGGCACAGGTAGACACTGTGGGAGATCAGCCCTTCTTCTGCGTCGGATGAATGTCTATATGCCTGAGGATACCTGACATATATTGTTGCTCATCCTTGAACTCTGTATGACTCAGAATTCCCGATGAACTTATGTTAAATTTTCCGCGAACCTTCTGATCTTTGACCAATGGTATGGCACAGGATACTAAGGTACCAGGAAGATGCAAGTATGACCGTGTGCGACCGGGAAGAGAAGACGCACATGCGTTTATCAGTCCCTTGCCGCGCCAAAATCCAATTGTCGAGCGGCATTTTTGAAGGGAGTATCGTCAAGCTCCCCACCTCGCCTCGTTAAATCATCGCCCATCTTTTTGGTTCCGCCAACTTTTCTAGGAAGATCTTGTTTCTTAGTTGGCTTCGGTTCAGCAAGCCACCAGCCGTGTTGTAGGATTTGGCAGGCGGTGCCTCGTTTTCTGGGATCCAGGGTACACATCGACATGAGCAAATCTGCCCCAACAGGCCCAGCCGTGGGAAATTGCCGGAGAAAGAAATCTCGACCTTGTAAAGGCACAATATGATTCGGATCGGCAGGTATGTAATTTGGCAATCTAGTCACGCCTGGCCAGTTCTCCTCAGTTGGTGTCCCGAAGGCTTCGCAAATCTTGGAGATTTGATCCAAGTCTGAATTCCCTGCGACAAATGGAACCCGTAGAAGGAGTTCAGCAAAAACCATTCCCATGGACCAAACGTCGACAGCTCCAGAATACTGTCGCGCACCGAAAAGCAGCTCGGGAGGTCGATACCAGCGTGTGATAACCTGGTGTGTCATATTCAAGTATGGGTCGGCGAAGGACCTGGCCAAACCGAAATCTGCCAGCTTGACCTCGCCGTCAGCGGCGACTAGAAGATTGTTTGGTTTGATATCTCGGTGCAGGATGTAATTTTCATGACAGAACCAAACACCCCTGGCAAGCATGCCCATCCAGGCTTTAACATCGGCGGCACCGTAATGAATATTGCTATCCCTGATGAGCATCTCAAGATCACCGCGTGGCAGGTATTCGAGGACCAGATTGAGGTTTTGATCCTTGGACGAGAACACATCGTGGAGTGCAATTATATTTGGATGAGAAAGCTCTTGGAGATATTTTACCTCTCGGATAGCGTCCATAGAAAGCCCATCCTTGTATTCAGCATTGACCTTGATCTTCTTTATTGCAACAAATGACGATGGGTCGGTGCGAAGGTGACCAAGAAACACTACAGCATAAGTTCCCTCACCCAACTTCTTATCTGTGAGTTGGCTATAGTTAGTATCGTAATGCTGGCACCACTGAGATAGTAAGGGAAAGAATTATGAAAATGACAGAATATGTTTGACAAAGGAGTCAAGGCAAGTGATAGGGGTTCAGTACCTTTTATGTACTTGTGCCTCACATCGTCGTTAAGTTGCTCCGTGATTTCACGGTCAGGGTTCTTCATGCGCTGGGGCGACGATGAGCGCTTCGTCTTGTTAGGTGAGTTGGTGCCAGAGTCATTCTCGAACTTATTGCCTGCATTTGAGCTTGAAGCTGCAACTGATGAAGCGTGGGGGACCAAAGGCGAAACCGCCATCGTCTGCTTATATGCCCTCAAACCCAATGGATAGGGAGAGAATGATTAGTATCACCGACGCAGCAGCAGCAGCATGCCAGAGAGTGAAGACTGATGGGCAGTGAAAGTTAACAGCCAATAATGTTGGTCTGGTTGGCAAGATATGGCACAACTTGCCTTGAGTATATATGAAGCTAGGATCAAAGTTCGGAGTTTTGTTGATCCCGGGACTTGCCCCGGAACTGCGCATCCCGCCGAACTTTTCTCCAGGATAGTCGGGACCGACAGCGAAGGCATCTAACTCTAACTACGCTACCGATTCCGGACGATTATCAGCGACGGGGAAGGGGCCCGATATTTTCTTATTTCAATTCCGTACCCTCCCAGATCTCGTGTTTTTTCAAAGAATTGTCGACACTTTTCAATCCACATCTCCGAGACCGCATCGGTTGTCCTGAAGAAACCCCGACGACAAAATGGCGACGCGCAGCTCGCACCGCTTGCCCTTGCAAGTGATGAGATCCTTGACGATAAGCAAACAGTTCATACGAAGTTTTCATAAGAACACGGGCGCCCCTTCTCCGCCGTCACCCACTCCCTTTGTTCCTGATGTCGAGACCTTTCTTAAGTTGATCGGGCGTGGGATGCACAAACATGCGAGCAAGCTACCTTCCTGGGATAAGCTATTCACTTCCAGCTCCTCTGAACTTCGGGATCTAGGCATTGAGCCAGCACGCCAGCGACGTTACCTGCTTCGCAAGATGGACAAGTTCAGGCAGGGCATCTATGGGCCCGGTGGAGACCTGGAGAACGTGGTCGATGGCGTTGCGCAGCTTCGAGTTGTTGAAGTTCCGACATTGAACAAGGAGACATCGAACCCTTTGAATTCCTCGGCTACTTCATCTCCAGGGATGAAAAGAGTCATTGTCAACATTCCGCCGGATGCTTCTGAATACACCCATGATCCCACGAAACCCCTCAAGAAGTTTGCGCGCATGAAAATCACTGCCGGTTCTGCTATCAGCGGCCCGTATCTTCAACCGATCAAAGGAACAAATGGTAGTGCAGCCCTAATCAAAGTCGAGGAGGGCATGTGGGAGGACAAGCTCGGCCACAAGGTGGACGGTGGTGAAAGGAGACGTGCTGAAGTTCGGGCTAAGAAGCGAAGTGAAGAGAGGAAGAAGGGAAACTAAGGACCACGACACAGAACACACACATACTTGTCTTTCCCACCTCTGTTGTATCTTAAAGGGCGCTTATATTGCAGTCATGTCACATGTATTATATTTCTCATAGATTAACGGTTATTCCGATTGTTGACACTGTTTTCCATCGCGTTCAGGAAAAGTATTATATTTGTGGTAGAATGGCTGTCCCATATAACGCCTGTATGGGACAGTTAGATTGGCTATAGATACATTAAGGCCTCTTCAAATGCGAGCAAATCGCGTACCCAGAATACAATCCTCACTCATAGTCAACCCTAGATCAAGACATTGGATTGAAGTACTGTACAAGCAGACATTACATGAGAGGAAACCGGCCATTAAAGCCCCAAGAGAGAAACGAAATAAAAACAATTCCATGAAAGACTGTTATCCAGTCATTTCTATCATATTACATAAGAGGTTTGAGAACAATCACAAAAGGCGGTTTCTATGCAGTAACAGAGGCAGGTCGTTATGATTTAACGGTGGTAGCGCGCTTCTCGAATTGAATGATAGACTTGCCAGCAGGCTTGGAGAAGAGAGACTAGAATTGGTCAGCCTTGTCAATCGTAGCCAGAAAGGTCGACGCATGATCGCTTTGAAGATAGCGTGACTTACCGAGTAGTCTGTTTCCGGAATATCCTTGACGTTTGGCAGGTTGCGGAATTTGAATAACCTCACCAAAGCCGCGGTAATTGCACCAAGTTGCACGTAGGCGAATTGTTCACCAATGCATCTGTGACGTCCTGCACCAAATGGAAGGTAGGGGCTATTAGTGCCTTTGCTGACAAGACCATATCCATAATCAATTTGATCTTCTTCTTCCGCATTGGCTGCAATAGTCTCATCCCAGCGGTGAGGATCCCATTTGAGAGGGTTAGGGAAATATTCCTCTGATCTTGCGGTAACACCAGGCGATGAAAGGACATTGTGACTGGTTGGGATAACATATGGCGTGCCATCCACAGGCATTGGGTTTTTGACTGCGCGGATGATTGAATGAATCGGCGCGTGAATTCGTAGTGTCTCTTTGATGACCTTAGCGTGCAAGTCAAGCTTCTGCAAATTTTCATAAGTAAGAGGTGGAAGATCTGACCCAAGCACACGGATCTGTTCGGCATATAACTCTTCCATAATTTCTGGATTTCTTGCAAGGTGCAAAACTATCCATGAAGCTGTCGATGAAGAAGAATGCTGGCCAGCCATAAGCAAGGCAATCATCATGTGTGCGATTTCCTCGTCTGGAACAGGAGTGCCATCTTTGTATACGCAGGACATGAGGTTCCAGACCATATCCTCAGAATCCTTCTTGTTTCCACCCGTTCGGCGTTCTTTGACAATCTCCATATAGGTTTCGGTCATCTTTTTCTGTGCAGCATCACGTTTCCGGTTGTGAGGAAGGGGTGCCCAAGGGAGCATGAAGTTGATAGGAGCAAACCCCATGTCAAGATCATGGTATAGTTCGGCGAAAGTAGAATCAAACCGACTCCGGACTTCCTTTCCTTGAAGAGAACGTGACGCAGTGTAGATGGTAATCTCTGCGATGGTCTTGCAGACGTCAAAAACGCCACTTGATCCCTGGAAAGCCGCAGAATGCTCGACAAAGTCATCTACCTCGTTGGTAATCAAACGAACGTACGAACGCAGGGCATCTGATGTGAGACCGAATTTGACAAACTACAATCATTAGTATACGTGTCAATACTCTCTCCATGCTCAAGCTCACCTTCTTCTGCTCCATAAGTTTGGCATTGGGACAATCATACACCACGTTACGCCCAAAGACAGGGGTTGTAAGTGGGGAGTAAACTTCTTCAGCACAGACATCACGTAGCTTTCCGTTTAAAATGAAATCATTGCCCCTGGTTCCCAGATAAACTGTTGTCTTTTTGCCGAGAAGAATGAAGGTGAAGATATCGCCGTACTGTAGGTAGACACGAGTCAGCATAAAAACAAAAGATCGATACTTTCATATTACTAGTCCATACCTTTGCGCGACAGTCGAAGAAGAATTTATAAGGATCCATGCCATAGCTAATTGTGCTACCTATGAATGGAAACCAGTGAAACACCAGAGGGGGCTCATTGGGGTTCTTGAATAACAACTGTCTTAGTACATTGAGAATGACGGAGACAGCCAGCAGGGATGACAGTCCGATCCCCAGAAGTACTAGAATTGACGTGTTCGAGCAGCGCTCGCAGAGGCTGTCGAGAACGACCGCGAGCAGGCCCATTATGGGACAACAGCGGAAACAGAATGACCGGAACAGACAATTGGAGTGCGTTGGTTATGTTCACGAGGAAGAATGATTCAAGCAGAGGCACCTTCCTAGCCCTCGGCGTGGAAGCGCGACAGATGTGTGAATTGCTTGCAACGGCGAAGGAAAGTGCACTTTTGGGTAAGTACAAGCAAGAGAGAAAAACGGCAGCACGCCACTTGCCAGTAGGTGAGCGCCCTTAGTAAAGTACTACTACTAGTAGCCTCGACCCGCTCACGGATTCTTAGTGGGCGTACCAATCTGAACGGCTCCGCGCCCGCGGCTCCTCCCCTAGCAGGAACTGGACAGTCCAGAAGTCTGAAAGGTACTGGTACTTACTAACCCAGCCGCTCCTCCGAGTGGATCCAGGCCCGTTCCTGCCCCTGGGTACTCCGAACCGCGTACAATACGAAATACGCATTTCGCTACCCAGTTACCTCCTAATTAGTAGTTAGAATCTAACTAGTGGTAGTACTCCATACTAGTACTATCATACGTTCCCATAGTGTACTAGGGCGCCGATTCACCCTACCCTCCCATGCTATACATTGTGAAGTAGATGACTCGTCCTAATCTTTCTGCTTCTTAAAAAGAACAAGCCCGACACTCACTATGTAAATGTGTGTGCCGGATACGCAACCCACCGATGCAGGTAGGTCTTGCATACAAAACAAGTAGGATTGCCCGTCTATTGAGGAAGCATTCCCTTGCAGCAACATGAAATCAACTCTTTTTCTCTCTCTTCTGAGGGGGCGCTTCCTTGGTTCTTTTCGGATTTAACTCGCACGTTTCATTGTAAAAGTAGCTATCGTATGATATTGGGCCGCTCTTGTAAGTGTCCCTGGCTAGTAATTGATAGCTAGTGCGTTTACGAGGTGAAGCTCCCAAGTCTATGTATGCTGTAGACTGTCAACTCAGGCTATTATTACTCTAAGTATTAAAAGTCGATTAGAGAGTAGACTAGACTTTATGCCCATGCCCTCAAGTACTTGTAAAGCGCGCTAATGTCACCCAGCCAAGGAAGCGACAGTCCCTGAGAAATACACTTAAACCGACCTTGGTTTCTGCCACGGTCCACATACTCAAGTCGATGGCTTCAGAGAATCTTCAGTCGCAGAAGGCTTTCTTCTCTTCAGTTACGCCCCTTTCTCAGGTTGTCATCGAACAAAACTGGATCACCTTGTTCTCCAAGGTTGACGAAGTTATTCGGGGCACTTTTCTCGTTAGGGGATACTTCACGCTCTTGTGCATTCTTTGCTGGATGGTTGTGAACACGTTTGCCAGCATTGTTTTTGTGGAAAACTTTGACAGGAGCACCACTTTTCTGCTCATGTTCACTGTAGCCAACATCATTGATATTGCTGAGAAGTGTCCTTTCGCGCGCTAGCTTTCTTTTTGAGAAGTCTAGCTTTCCCAAGGCCCCAGTCAGGCCGTCTGTGCTGTCAGAAACACTAGGCTGCTTTCCTGTAATCCATGGGTGCTCTAAGCATTCATCCACCGTAATTCGGTCGTCAACGTTAACTGTGAGCATTCGGTCTATCAGATCCAATGCCAGATCACCCACAGTGTCCCAATACGGAGACGGATAGTCGAAGCTCCCTTGTTGTATTTGCTGTGCTAAAGTGTACGGGTGCTCAGGTGTGTATAATTCGTCAGAGAATGGGGGAAAACCGCAAAGGCATATGTATAAGACGACTCCGAGAGACCAGACATCCACAGCCTTTGTGTATTTCCGATAGCGCCGCTCCTGTAGTATTTCTGGCGCGACATCTACAGAATCAGTATTGATTATCTGGCTTTCGAGCGGATTAGAAGACTCACAGGTTGGTGTGCCGCATCTTACCAAATATAATCGTTAGCACAAAAACCAAGAATATATGGGAGTACATGCCATACAGTGTGGTAGTAAACGAGTCTTCACCGATAATCTTGGCTAACCCAAAATCACCAAGTTTCACGGTCAACTCTTTGTCTGCGACCAGAATGTTTTCAGGTTTAATGTCACGATGAATGATACCTCGATCGTGCTAACACACGGCTTCAGTCGCTACTATCGAAAAATAATGGGCATGGAGGTGGTAGAACATACCAAATACTTCAGCCCCTCAAACAATTGGATAAAGATGCAACGAGTCTCACTTTCAGAGAATTTCTGCCGGCTGATAATCAAGTTGAACAATTCGCCTTCTGGAGCGAGTTCCAGGACAAGATAAACGCCGTCGCTTTCATCGAATGTATCTCTGAGGCAAAGCAGATTCGGATGACTGACGCCCTTCAAGATACCGATTTCCTGATGGAGAACCTCGTTCTGGGAGCGCTGCGAGTCACCAGAACGTTTCTCAAAAACTTTCACGGCATACTGAGCCCCCGTAGACCGTTCTACGCAAAGGTAGACTGTGGCGAAATGGCCTTTCCCAAGCTGTTGCAGAAGCCTATATTGTTGGCGGAAACGATTGGTGTCTCGTGTCCGAGGATATCTGAAAACAAAACGTGCTTCATCTAGGATGGTGACCTCATCGCCATCTTCAAGTTCACGGTGTTTATTTTGGCCCACCATTGCATCATTGACAAAAGTACCATTAGTGGAGAGATCCTGGAGAAAGGCAACGGCATCGCCTTTCCTATTTTCGGAAAATACCAAAGCATGTCGATTCGACACAGTAGGAATGTTTATCACCAGGTCTGGTAAGCTTCGTTAATTGTTTGTAAGACAACATGATCTGGATACCTACCGCATTCAGGATGTCGGCCTATTAGGTAGCCGCTAGGTGAATTCTTTTGTTTACTAACGGAACCCGCACTCGTTTTCTTGGGGTTGGTCGTAGATGCTGCGGATTTGCGCTCCTCGCATCCTCCGCGTTTCCTCAGTACCAGAGGACGGCGGACCTTATCATCAAGCGGAAGAAGGTATCCCCAGACTCCCTCTGCAGCTTCGTCTTCGACTTCATCGGCAAATGCTCTAGGGGGGTAAACGAATTGAGAAAGGGCTTGTGTATCGCTAGGAGGTGATGAACTATCTTGAGGGAGTTCCGAATCTGAAGGTGTCCGCCGATGTAATTTCCGGCCAGGCTCATCTGGTGTAGCAGTCGTCTCCTTTTCGATGTCTGTGGCAGTTGAATCTTGTTGTGTCATGGGTGTAGGCAAATAGGACTGATCGTCTAAAGCCTGTGCTTTGCTTTGGGGATTGTTCCTCTCGGAGCGTCGTGGCTTTTTAAGGTCTTGTGAATCATTATCGGCGGAGGCCTAGATGTTTACGCCATCGTCAGTCCAATTAGTCACAAGGGAATTGATGGTAATAACATACTCTGCCACGCTTGAGGGAGCTTTTTTCGTTCTGTGGTGCCATTTTATTGCCTATTCACATCCTGGCAAGTACCAATAGTCACAAAATCAGCTTGGCTTGCACGGCCCAAAAGTCAAATAAGGCATAGCAACCAGAGTAATAGCACTGCAGATATCGCCAGGTCTCTCCTATGCTTTGAAGCTAGGGGAGAAATGCTCAAGTGGAGAAGTCAAGAGGGTATGTATGAACACTGGAGAAAATACGGGCGAGCAAATCAAAGGGGCAGCAAGAGAACCGAAAAAGTAATTTCACTGGAAAACCTAGATTTGGCTAATGCAAAGAGATAGATAGAGCGATCTAATGTAGAACAAATCAAGGTTGCAGTGTACATAGAAGTAGGTCACAAACAACCTTGAGCGCGTGGTACCTCAGCTCCCGGTATGGGTACGGCTTAAGTCGTCATTTATCATAAATACTGTCACCGCTTTCGACCCAGCACCCCTCACATTGTATAGATACGTGTGAGATTAAATCGGAGATGAAGGATATGTATACTCATAGACAATTTACTTAGCTGAAAATTTCTGCCTCCCAAATGGACTTTAGCATTCTTGACTCAGCCTACAGGTTCAAAACGCCTGATACTTGAATACTGTAGCACACGTACTTTGTAGTTGGTTCTGAAGTTGACTCCAATGTCATCAATTAAATAACGAATGGAGTAATACCAGCTCTGACATTGAGCGACTTTTGGTCGCTAATTATATTGGGTACCATTTAAGATCATGTCGCGATTGATGGGTGTGTAAACTATTATATATGGTATACATAAAAGCTTACACAGTAGAGAGACTGCAGGATTTGAGTGGAGATGATAGTATACTATCATCAACCAAACACTGCATAGGAGCATAACTCACTATGTAAGTGAAGACGGATAGAACTCTGCATGAAATCCTTATTGGTCGTTGAAGTCTCTGGAGGAAGCATTGAGCTCCTTAAAGAGACGCCTTCTCCAGAGAAAGCTAAACAGTCAATGTTCATGAGTGCAACACAGAAGCGTTGAGGCCCACGTGTCTGCCGTACCGAGGTTCTCCGGGAGGGAACCAGCTCCCCGTACTCCGCGGGACGCTAACACTTAATCTCCTATCAAGGGGCTCCCCCTTGCTACCTTTGGCAATTGACATTAGTGCTCTGGAAAACAACAGTTTATTCGTCACCACACGCACTTAAAGCCGATTAACGCTAACTAGCCGCATTAATCTGGAACTATGGATGGGTAGGCTAGCTGCAAGTCTAATGGTTAAGTTTTGTGCTGATAGGATCCGTAGCCCCTCGACTATCAGAGCTTCGGCTTTGAATAGGCTTGCGGCATTAGCAGTCAAGGGACCAGAATGCGGCAGCGATTCAGACATCGCACGACTCGCCCAGCAGTCACTATGCCCCGCACACCCGTCGAACGATACCCTTAACGGTATCTTGCAAGCCCAAGCTCCTACATCGCGGGTGCCTATGGTTCGTTAGCTCCTTTTCTCTGCTTCGTAGGTGGCTTCTAGACTGACCTCCTCAGGATATGAAAGAGCTAGACGTGCTGGTTGCTCTATGTAAAGCGTCTCCTTCCGTGACCAATATCGAGCATGCTTCGAGACTGGTATCACTTTTGTCACAATACCTTCCCGAATCGCATAGCCAACTTTTCCGCCCTTCACCCTTTCTTCACAATGTGAAACCTTCGCCCTGGGAGAGCCTGACTCATAATCTCACGTTGGCTCTGCTCTCACTGGGTTCTAGCCATCCACAGCTGCGTAGTATCGTGGCCGGTGCTTTCAATGAGTATCTGAGCAATTGTGCCGAAGCTATCAAAGCAGTTGCGCCCCTTCATCACTACCAAGCGGAAGCAAACAGTCGGGATGCCGAACATGAATCAACCAGCGTGCTATCGATATCCGCCTCTCTTGTCGGCTTTCTGGGAGCTTCGGCTGCACTTTCTTCATTCTGGGCTCCAAGCGAGAAGCTTCATTTAGCCAACAACTTGCGGTCCATGCTCTGCGAGCGGTTCTTGGTAGCCGTTGAGACTGCCTCGTCTATTGTGCGGAATGGAAGCATGCCTGGTTATCTGCTCAGGGAGTGGAGAAAATACACTCGCCGTTATGATGCCGATGGCCGTCCTCTAGGGGCTATGTTGCTCCAGGAAGGTTTCATCAGGTTTATCAAGTCATGCGTTACACGTGCGGCCGACATAAATGGCACATCAGGTGTCGAGTTTTCACACGATAGCCTGCCTGAATTAGGCACCGCTACAAGTTCTGACGACACAGAGATCGCTCTTATCGATCGGGTGGCAGCCATCATCGCTGATGAGATCCAGCTCCTAGAAGATGGCTCGGATTATCTGCAACTTGGCTCCCCCTGGAAGCAACGACTTGCTTTTTCCATGAAGGCCCTAGCTCTAGTTGGATACTTGAATTGTATCATTTTGTGTGAAGATACAACGAATAAGGAAGACTTTGTATCATGGCTAGAAGACACACTTATGGATCCGAGACAGATGGCTTATGCCGAATTAGCAACAGCGGTTCTGACAAGCATGGCAGTCGTTTCGCGAGCTTCCATAACGATGGCATCCTCAGGGAGCCGCTCTTTGTTGAGATTCATCGTTGAAGGAGGTGCACCGACCGGTACCACCGGTTCTATTGCAGGCAAATGCCTTGCACATGTTCTTGGTGGTCTATCTCAAGATTCTGTTATTACTACACTCTACTCCCTAGGAAATGTTCTCAGCTCTGGCTCAGGCACCGACAAGTCGTATCAAAGCCACATGCTTGGGGATAGTTCCGCCCATGGAAATACACCTCTCGCATTTCCTACCACCAGAACTGGCAGTGTGGTTTCGTTTTCAGGTGATGACGAATCAAATAATCTTTCGTACAAAAATGTCGTCCGAGCTATTGTACAGATCGCAGCCAGCTGCAATGATGAGAAAATAAGCGCTTTGGCACAGTCCATGTTGCTACAGAAGATTGGGAAGGTGAATGCTACTATTGACGCTTTTATCATTACGGAAACAGCTACTATATCATTGAGTACCGGGCAAGCCGAGTTTCAGCTCCTGCTCAAGTTCTATGATCGAGCATACCGTGATGGCATGGCCAGGGGCTACAACAGTGTTACTGATGCTGTTAAGAGTGCATTGGCATATCTCTCTATCACGTTGAAAAGAGACTCGCCACTATACGGTGTATATCTGGTTCATCTGCTGGAGAATGTCGTAAACAAGGGCGATGCTACCAATCTCGAAAATGAGAGGCAGAAGGAGCTTGCTCTTGCAGCCGACGAAATCGGTCCTCTTCTAAGGCCCTTGGCTTTGCTCGTGTCGTCAGACCAGAAACAGCAGGATAGTGCAGATACTATCACATACTACGATCAGGATGTGTCTGCTCTATTCCGGGATGCATGGTTCAATATCGCAGTACATGGGATATCCATGCATTCAGCTGTTGGTCAAAGCCATTTTGAGGAGCTGCGCTTACTTGCCAAGCACTCTCCTCCCCTTGTCTCCGAAGATCGTATGGAGGCAACGGAAAGCGACGTTGAGTTGAACACAATCCTTAGGCGAGGAATGGGCTCACAACGTTTGCAAGAGCAGAAGCGAACTCTCCTTGCTGAACTCCCTGGCCACGAGGCCGAAACAAAGCGATTAAGCTATCCGCAAGTAGTTTTCCTCAACGCTACGATCTTGGTCGAAAAGTTTCGTGCGCTGTCCGGCAAATGTACTGGGTTCCTTGATTACTTCCGCGACCCGGCCATAGCTACTACAGAAATGACCAGCTGTATGAGTGCGATCGCAGAGAAGGTAGTGGCCAGTTACCTTTCGCTGACGATGTCCGGGAAATCCGAAGGCTTCTCTGTTGCTTATCTATCAAGAGAACTAGCCGGTTTCTTTATCGCTTGCAGTCATCGTGTTGAAAGGGTACAGAACGTCGCTGTACTCTGTGCTAACAAGATTATAAACGAATGTCCATCGGCTCTGTGTGAGAAGCACTCCCTTTTCGCTTTGCTCGAGCTTCTGACCGTCATGTGGCGCTCATGTCTAGAAGGAGAACTCGATGAGTTTGAATGGAATCCGTCATTCACTTCACCCACAGGGTTGGTCAAAGCCGATCTACCCGACAACTATAACTTCAGGAAAAGAACGTTAGATGTTCTGCTTGAACGATCTAAAACATGGGTAGCGGCGGCTATGGATATTGCACCCTTGGATGTAAAAGGCCTGCTCCAGGTATGACATTCTGCTATCTAAGTCTCCGAAAAGCGACTGACCCACCTTGTCAAGACATACCTATCTCTTTCGGACGACCATGCTGGATATGGCAACATCCTGTTGGGGCGCTCTTTCGCGCTTGAGATGGGATCGCTTATCCCGAGCAGTGATCAACGTCTTGGTAGGACAACACTTCGGTCTTGACTCAGCTACTGTTTTTCTAATGTCCCCATTTTCTTCCAGGTTCAATGGACAGCCACGGCCTAAGCAAGATAAATGTCGCTTCCGACTTCATTTCTCAGTATTCCACTCGTCAGAACTATAGAACTTTGTATGCACAAAGTGTCAGTGGCCCAACGCAGGGACCCAATGGGCTTGGTGGTGGGTAATATCTCAATTTGTGAACGTTCAAGGTGCTAATATGGGATAATCAGCTCATAATCTGCTTTCCGGGTCTTTGCTATCTGCAAATAAAGTCATGGAGGATACGCTGTATCAACTCAACGCACGATTGAAGTCAGGAGAAGTTGTCCCTACCGTCGCCGTTCGTGATGTGCTACGGCAAGCTGCGGGCCTCCTGTGCAGTGATAATGACCCTTCTTCTTTCATTGCTCAGTACTTGGTTCAGATACCTTTTGAGATATTCTCGAAGGAGTCGATGGACATTGGTATACCCCTCTGGCTCGGAGTTATGCATGAGAATCCGAGAGTGGAGTCCAAAATCTTGGTAGAAGTTATTGGATCCTGGGAAAAATCGATTCAGCGCCGAAAGGGGCTGTTTGACTTAAACTGCAAGTAAGTA